GAAAAGGCAGATAAGTTAAAAAAAATGTACCAGGGTGCAGAGAGATGGCTCAATGGCTGAGAACTCCTGTGGCTCCAGAGGACTTCAGTTTGGTTTCCAGAACCCACATCAGACAGCTCACAACTGCCTGTAACTCTAACTCCAGGGAATCCTATGTCTTCTTCTGAACTCCTCAGGTACCACCACACATGTACACACACACACACACACACACACACACACACACACACACACACACAGTGTTATACACACTTTATGAGAATGGCTAATTCTCTCCCCCTTTGTTCCCTATTTTCTCTTTAGGAATTTGGGTTAGCAACAGTCACACTTAGCTATGTTGTCACCTTGACATATCTGGGGAGAGGGAACCTTAACTGAGGAGTGGCCTCCATCAGATTGGCCCGTGGCCATGTCGGTGAAGCATCTTCTTGATGGCCGATTGATGCAAAAGTTCCCAACCCCCATGAGTGGCATCATCTCTAGGTAACTGGTCCTGAGTTGTACAAGAAATGTGCTTGAACAAGCCAGAGATGGCAAGGCACCAGGCAGCATCCCTCCATGTTCTCTGCTTCAGGTCCTGCCTCTAGGTTCCTGCTTGCTTCAATGCCTGCCCTCATGTCCCTCAATGACTGACAGTCACATGGAAGTGTAAAGCAAACCCTTCCCTCTCCCGGCTGGTTTTGGTCAGTGGTTTATCACAGCAAGAGAAATCACACTAGGACAGCAGCCTGGATCAAATGCAGGAAGGACTGAAGTATCCCAGCACAGTATCCCATGCTGTGATTTTCACGAATGCCAACACACTTTACGTTAGTTTCCACCATCCTTTCATGCCTGGCCCAATGTCGGTATATGGTGGACACTCAGTAAATATTTGCTAATTGATATATTTCACGTTTCAAGGCAGAGCAGAACTTGTTCGCTAATGGTGTCATCCTTACAAAATGATTTTATAACCCCATTAGTTTGAGAGAGCTAAAGGGAGCTAAAAATGTTCATGTCAAGAGCTGTAGCATCCAGGCCACGAAAGCATTTGATTTTTCTCCGTCTCTCCATCAAGTGGCAACATGTGAGTGAATGCCTCTCCACTCTCAATTTTGATGTCTGTCTCAATGTGAGGCTCGTTCAGGAAACAAGCCGATGACACCCAAACCGTATCCTATTAACACATCCTCCTTTCTGCGGGCGGCTGCTGCTATTTTACAAAATGCCTTTGGGTGTGTAGCAGAGAAAACACTGCTGAAAACGGGATCTGGGCTTTGATCAGGATTGTTTTCCTTGGCGCTTCTCTTTCGGTCATCGTGGGAAGTTTTCTCTCACAACAGATTGACAGCTATCTGCCATTCTCATAAAAAATCATCACATGGAAAGACAACTTCTGTCACCCCTGTCCCTGCCTCACGTTGCTCCTGGAATGTGCACTGCTCAGCTTTGATCCCCTTGGCCCAGAGGCTCTGATTGTCTCATATTGGTTGGTTTATTTCCAAGACTCTGAGTGCCCAGACCTAAGAGGCCGGGGCCACTTGGTCACCACCTGCAGGTTCAGAGTTGACCCAGCCTATAAGACTGATCCTGACCCCAAATAGGAAAAGCATCACTGGCCTTGATCCAGCACCAAGCCAGAGTTCCTGTAAGGAATCCCCCCAGGTCACACCCACTGAATCAGTCTACCAATGAGCAGCCTGCTTGAGGTTCACAAACATGCCAGGTAGGTCACGGTATGGTTCCGTTTTACCTATGGAAAGACTGAAGCTCAGAGAAGGAAGCATCCTGTCCAGATCCTATACTCAGAAGGTGCTGGAGCCTCCCTGTGAAAGGTGGAAGCCACTGTCTCTCAGCCCTTGCCAGCCATTTCTCCCTGGTCCTTTCTGCTTGTTCTCAGCAGAACTGCCTGACACTACAGATTTCTTCCAGACTGCATGTCTCTGTTGTTAACTGGAAAGATCTTTTCAAAAGATGCTATTAATTAATTAATGTGACATATAATAATTGTATACACTAAATGTAGGTGTAATTTACTACCTAAAGTAGTAAAATCTCCTACTGTGATATCTGTTCATCTTGTCCAATGATCAAATCGGAGTAATTATCACACCCATCACCTCAAACACGCCATCATTTCTTTGTGGTAAAAATATTTGAAATCCCTCTTCTGGCTATTCAGAAATGCAAGCTGCATTCTTGCTGATTGTTGCACCCTACTGCGTCGTAGAATGTGAAAACTTCTTCCTCCTGCCCAATTGCAATTTGCACCTGTCGACAAATCTTAATGTCCTCTTCTCCCCTCTAGCTCCACATCAACACTGAACTTCCTCAACTTGAAATCTAGGTAAGGCTTCTCAGACATTAGAGTATCCAGACGACATGGGAGGGACTTGAGGAAGGAAGAAAAGTGCAGGAGGGGGACAAGGCCACCGGAGGTGACAAGTGCAACCAGTGGAACACAGTCCTTGGAACTTTAAGAAGCCAGGCAGATCTTACAGAAGTCCAGATTTCAGTTTCCATCCTGAAAATATGGCCAGGACTAGAGAGAGTAAAGAGACAGCCCAAAGCCAGACACATGTGTGATGTGAGGGACAACCACACATAACAAGGACAAAATACAAAGGCCCAGCTGAAAGAGGGAAGATTTATCATCCAAACTTTCTAGGTGAATCTAGAATTCCACATGTCCTTCCCAGCCAGAGTGCACCTTATAGTTCTGAGGCACGCAGAGCTCCTGGCAGCAAGAGTACTTGGTTGAGACGCTAGTGGCCAGTATTGGTATACAGGCTTCATCCTTTAGACTCAAGACGTGGTCCGGGTCACAATACCACCTCTCTGATAGCCCTGCCAACAGTTCATACCTGAATCTAATTAACAGGAAACATCAGACCATCTCAAATAGAAGGACATTCTATATAATCACTGCACCATACTACTTAAAATGGTCAAGGTCAAGAAAAGCATAAACAGCCAAGCAACCTTTCCAAATTAAAGAAAACTCAGAGACACAAATGCAAATCTTGACCTTGGCCTGGATCCTAGACCAAGAAGTGGGTAAAGTGCTACAAAAGGCGTGACTGGAATGAAAATGCTTACATGTGGACTGCTCACTAGCTAAAGGTACTGTTTCAGTGCTGGTTTTTTGATCCTAACAAATGTGGTATCCTCTTCCCTGAAGACTTTAGGAGTGGCAGGATACAGATGAGATCAATTCTAAACAGTTTTCTTGGAAAATGCCCTCCATGGCTATGCAGAAAAGATGCAATGGGATGCAGACGGCGGAAGAGAAATAACAGAGGAATTTGCGTTTTCATGAAACATTTAACACAGAGCATTCAATGGTTCCTCGTGTTATTCTTGCAATTTTTGTTTAGGTTGAGAATTAGTATTATTTCTAAAGATTGTTTTTATAAAGACACATATGAGTGTTTTATTTTTACTAAGAGACATAAAAGATAACAGAATGATTCTTTAACCAGAGATTTATTGAAAGGCTAGTCTCTCAAGCCTCGTCCCAGAACCAGATGAAAGAATCTACATTTGAATCTACATTTTAATACAAACCCCAAATTATTTAGCTATAAGTACATACAGGTTTAAGACTCTGATCTTTGCATTTCAATGCTGGGCACCCATTCCTACCTAGCTATTAGCTATTTGGCATATTGATGGCAAATCAACTAATTCCATGTTGCAAACTCCCATTCACCCCCAAAGTACAATTCATGTGTGGTGTCGTGGGGCAGGGGTGTGAATCATCCTATCTTCTCTGTGAAATATTTCTTGTCCCTGAGCCCATCTGCATTCCAGAACGTGCCCTGTATTCAATGCCTTTCACAGCCATTTTTTAAAAATAGTGTCCCTATTTTCACATTATATTAAAAATCTGTTTCCTTTTCCTATTAGGCCAGAAGGGGTTGCAGTGAGGCAGCAAACAGGGCTTCAGAAACATTTGAGTGAATGAATGAATGAATATTTGAATGAAGGAATTTAGCTCTGCTTCCAACCCCCTTGTCATATTCATAGCTCCAGAGAGATCTGCTGGAGCTTCAGAAGGAACAAGAGATCATTTCAAGTTGAGCAGATACCAGCAGGGACCAAAGTGTTGCCAGCAAGAAAAGCCTCAGCAACACAGACCTCCAGCCTCTAACCCGACTCTGCTCCAATGCACTGCAAGCCTAGCTCGTCTCCAATTTCTTCATAGTCTTAGCAGTTACATACATTTCTAGTGGCTTTATGACCTAGTAAAATAATGTTATAGCAGCAATCCATCGGTAATGTCTACACCACACTAGGTGTGTGTGTGTGTGTGTGTGTGTGTGTTACAAAAATGCAATCAATAACAAAAGATAAACTTGGCCAATACTGTGGCTAGATCAAGGTTACTAGGTGGAAAAAGAATAAAGGTGAAAGTGGAAGGTATTCGGAGCTCCTTGTTGGAAAGCATTGTCATCCTGGACCAGGTCCTTTCTCTCCATCCTGGCAGGTGGAAGTAGAAATGCAAGACAGGACATCAGAAGCTCAAAGGGCTGAAAGGATGTAGCAGCTTTGGTTCAGGAAGCGTGGCCGGTCCCTCTTGCCTTCAAATGAAGGGCAAGGAATGGATTTATAATGAGCTGATTCTGTCCAAGAAGTGAAGCGAATTTAAAAGAACATACTAGTTAGAATCCAGCCTCCCTGGTGTTTTCAGTAAAAGATAATTTTGGGTATCAAACGGAAGCATCCATGGGCTAGGTAAGGCTGCATGGACTCAGGGACTTTCAATACAGGGAAGGTCTGCTACTGCTGTAATTGTAAAAGACGGATTTTATTTTAACTCAATGTGGGACTTTTAAAGAATTCCCCCTAGGGACAGGGCTTTGCCAAAAATCGGAGCATAATTTAATGAGGGTGAAAAGTTTAAGAACGAAATATAAGCGGAACGTCCTAAAAGGACAGAAGGGACTCAGAGTGAGAGTCTGTGCCCAAGCAACTAGTTGAAAAACGCCAATGATGGCAGCCAGCAGATTCATGCTATGAGGGGGTGCTGAGCCTCTCCTGGGACTTGCAGCAAGATTATCTCTAGCCCAGTACACATGCAGGAAACTTCTAGAATGAGCGAAGGAGAGTCCTGTAGAGTTGCTGGAGGGAATGTTTTTATTTGACCACTTCTGTTTGAGTTTATGAAATAAGGCAAAGAACCTTTGTTTCACACAAACAAAGGAGAAAAGACCAAAGCGACTGTTTTGAGAACACATGGACTTCAGAAACGCTCCAGACCAGCTCAAGGGAGGCCACAGCTGACCTTCACCATGATGTCTCTCTTTATAGGGATAGCAAGCCACATTTTCCTGGCCTCTGCTGACTTACCCTCTGACTCTGCTGGTCATGACTGATTTGCAAACACTAACTGAACAAGTCCACCTTGAACAAATTTGCCACGGTCTGGTCTCACATGGATTTATCCCTTCAACTCCTGTTTGCTCAAAGCCCACCACCATCCCTGATGAAGCCCCTTAGTCCATTCACATTGAGTCTTTGGTTCTGTATCACTTACATTTTTCATCACTGTAACCAAATACCTGACAAGAAGCAAGTAAAAGAAGGAGAAATTCAGCGAAAGGGGATAGAGTCCACCATGAGGCTGGAGGTACTGCAGCAGGATCAGAGTCTGGGATCACCTTCTAAAGGTTCTATAACCTCCCAAAATGTCGCCACCAGTTGAGAACTGATATTAAGCACAGAACAAGTTTCCACAGCAGCGGCTGCCATGCCATACATCCAGATCGGCTGCCTAATCCTGGCACCCAGCCCACAGCCGACAAAGCAGAGACCCTTGATCTCCAGAGAGTTGGGATTTAAATCCAAAAGTGTCATTTCAGACCCAGGTTCAGCCTCTCCCGTGAAGAAGTTTTGGTACATGTGGGAGTCTTGTTTCCAAACAGAGAACACTAAGCAGCTCAGAGGTGCTAAGCAAATCACAGGGGATACAGCTTCTAATGAAGCATCAAGACCTTCAATTTGGACTCCACTGATTAAGAACGTGTGATCATTCCAATGTTGGCAGGTCTGAGAATTACCTTGGTACCACCTAGGAAGAAAAAAAAAACAGTTAGGCAAATGAATAATTTAAATGAATCTAAAGGGAAGAGAAAGGAGGGCTCAGCCTGCTTTTCTGAGTGACTGAAACCCAGAAGTAGCCAGAGAAGAATTGGATGAATGGAAGGATCCACCCTGGGGTCCAACATTATCATAGAAAGAGGAATTAGGAAGAGATCAGAAGAATCATCTTAACTGACTTCAGACAGAATGGGAACATTGTTTTGAAATATAGTACATTAGAGTTATTCAAATGATCTTTCTATTCATGTTTCATTCTAACAGATCACTAGAGGTTTGGTTTGCATGGTACTGAGGCCTGCTTGTTGACGGCCCCTCCACATCCATTCATTTAAATCCCCATTCTTAAAGTGACAGTGTTTGGAGGCCATCAGATCATGAGAATAGGCACCTTGCAAAGGCAATCAGCACTCAAAGAAGCCAAAGAGAATTTTGTGTCCCGCCACCATGTGTGGGTGTGGCAAGAAGGCAACATCAACAAGCCAGGAAACAAGCCCTCCCAAAACATACTCTGCTTGTGCCCTATCTCGGACTGCCAGGCCCCTTGGGAGAACTTCTGTGATTTATAAGCTATGCAGCCTACAGCATTTTGTTATCGAAACCCAGGTGAACTATGACGCAGTCATGGCCCAGTTCTGAAAAAGCTGTACACTTGCTAGCTCTCTGTGTGCTTTCATCAGCTCACTAGGGTGACACACAAGAACCACCCATGAATGTATGGAATATTGAAGCATGGTAGTTCCTCATCGTGTCTGTTTGGTTGCCCTCCTCTACACATACCTCGAGCTGTAGGCCTGCTTTCCCATGTTTAATCCCTCAGAAATGAACAGTTAGTTGTGATGTAGAGCAAAAGCTATTTTTCATACACTATAACCTCTAATGCCACACTCTGGCCCTCAAAACGCAATAAGCTGACTGAAACCAGCCTCACTAACACAAGTACCCAGTGAACTGTTAACCAAATACTACACTTGCTCCAACCAAATTAGTCTTATATCACCAAGCATGTCATAGACAGACCCATGTCACAGACACATTAGTCTCAGTATAAAAAGCCAATTCCTCTCTATCAGTTTTTTTTATGCTTTTACTGCAGTATAATCAACAAAAAATTGTATATACCATGTATACACAATGTGTATAGCTTAATATTTTGATATATGTATGTAGACTCACATTGTGAGGTGATTACCACCATCAAGCTAATTAACACATCTGGCACCTCATCCTGTTATTTTTATGTGTGATAAGCATACTAAGTCTATTCTTAACCTAAATTTCAAGGATACATTTTTATTAGCTACAGTTATGTGCTAGTCACTAGATTCCCCTGAATTCATTCATTTCACAGTTGACAGTTTGTGCCCATCTACCAGCATCGCCTATCACTCTCATCTCCCACCCCTGAGCCTTGGCAAGTACTGGACTGCTCTCTGCTCCCATGTGCTTGACATTTTTTGGTAATTGGCATGCAAGTGAGGTCATGTATTCTTTCTGTGTCTGGCTTATTTCACTCAGCATAATATCCTCCAAGTCCATTGCAAATGGTGGGATCTCTTTTCTCTGTAAAAGCTAAACAACATTCCATTGTGCATACACACAATGGTTCCTTTATCGATTCATCCATCAACAGACACTTTTTTTCCCATAGCTTGGCTATTGCAAATTGTATTGCAATGAACATAAGAGTGAAGGCTTCTCTTTAAAGAATTGATATCATTTTCCTGGGCTATAAACCCAGACGAGAGATTGTCAGATCATGAGGTAATTCTATGCTTATTATTTTTTTAAGTAAACCTCATTTTTATTTTCCTTCACAGTCCTTTTTAAATATTTTTTGAGATTATAATGTAATTACATAATTCCCCCCTCCCTTTCTTCACTCCAAATCCATCCATGTACCTCTCCCTGCCCTCTTTCAAAGTCATGGCCTCCTTTTCTTTAATTGATGATATATCTGTGTGGAGGAGGTATTTCTAAATGTATAAATACAACTTGCTCAGTCTATGTAATGTTACTTGTATGTATGTTTTCAGGACTGACCATTTGGTATTAGATAGCCAATTGGTGTGCTCTTTCCTAGAGAAGACTATTTCTTGCTCTCAGAATTTTTTAGCTGACTGTAGTTTGTTGTCTAGAGTTGAGACCTCATAAGCTCTCTCTCTTCCATGTTAACATGTCCATTGGTGGCATCCTTGTTTAGATCATGTTTAAGCAGCCATGTTCCTGAGGTAGCCTCTCTAACATTTCTAGTATTCCTGTTTCACTGACCTCTACAGTATTCCTGCCTCCTCATCTGAAATGTCGTTTGAGCTTTAGATGTAGGACATTGTGTTGGAGACATGTCAGTTGGGACTGGGCTCTACAACCCTGCATTTGGTGGTTGTGGTTTTCTTTAGTGGTCTCAGTCTGTTGCAAAGAGAGGTTTTCTTGATGAAAACTTCAGTTACCTGTAGAAATAAGAACAAATATTTAGACTGACGTTAGGAACTGTGCCCGTTTAGTAAAGTGGTGGTGGGTTCTCCTTTAAGATCCATGACTTCACTAGTCCTAGGTAGTTGACCAGGTTTCCTGTGCCTGCCATTATTTCCCTCTTGTTGGGTCATTTTGTCCCTCACAGTCATTAGTATAACATTAAGTTACATTCCCACAGGCAATGTACAAAGGTTTGCATTTCTCTCCATTCTGCATACATAGCTAGTGTCCCTCTCTTCTCAAAAATAACCATCCTAACAGAAGAGAGTTGGTTGCTCACAGTGATACCAGTTTGCATTTCCCTGATGATGAACATTGAGCACTTCTCATGCACTGGCTAGCTGTTAGTATGTTTTTGTGTGCTTATTTGAGGCTCTTGTCTATTTAAAAATATTTTTGGTATTGAGTTGTATGAATTCACTACATGTTTTGACTGTTAAGCCCTTATCAAATACATAGTTTGAAAACATTTTCTCAATACTCAGGCTTGGTTTTTCATTTTATTGTTTCCACTACTTTAAGTTTTATGCTATTGGTGTTTGTGTTTATTGTTGTTAGTGAATCTTTGCTTTAGCTGTTATATTCACAATACATGACTTCCAAGACCAGTGTCAAGTTTCTTATAAAGTTTTATTGTTTCAGGTCTCTAATTCATTTTCATTTCATTTTTCTGTGTAATGTAAGTACCCAGTTGTATACTTTGCATACAGATATATAGTTTTCCTTAAATCACTTATTAAAGATACTACCCTTTTTCATTCTTGGCTACCTTCAAATTTTAAATGATCATATATCATTAGAGTTAATTCTGGGCTCCCTTCTGTGTTTCCCACCACTTATTAGCAGTATGTGTGCCAATACTGCCCTGCTGTAATTGCTACAGCTAAGCTTGTTAACAGAACTTAGCATCAACCATAGTGTGCCCCCATTGTTCTTCTCGTGATTTCTTTGTGTGAGATATGTTGTAGTTCCATACGAATTTCAGATCTGTGGGGTTCTTAAGAAAAAATACATTGGAATTTTGATAGGAATTACACTGAATCTGTTTATTTCATTTGGTAGTAAAGATATTTAAGAAGTAGCCACCATCTGATACACTAGTCTGAAAGTAGCTTTCCACTTTGTTGTATATTCTTCAGTTATTTCCATCACTGTTTCATCTTCTCAGTGTACAGACCTTGTTTTCTTTCTAGGACCCAGCTAATCTCACGCTGTCATTGGGTAACTTATGTTCTTAATTTTGTTTTAAGACAATTGTTGAAGTAAAGAAACTTTGACTAATATTTGTATGTTGATTTTCTACCCTACAATAAACTGTGATTGTTTATTAGTTTCCAACAGTGTGTGTGTGTGTGTGTGTGTGTGTGTGTGTGTGTGTGTGTGTTGGTCTATATAGTCCTTAGCATTTTCCACACATAGGATCCTGCCATTCAAAAACAGGCATGAAAATTTTCTTCCTTTCTAATATGAATTCCTTTTACTTCCTTAGTATATCCCTAGCCTGTAGATGTAACCAATCGTCTTATTAAAATAAGAAACACAGAGCCAAGGTAAAAGAGAAAGCTGAGAGGTCAGAGCTCAGAGATAAAATCTTACCTCCTGCAGTGCTCCTAGCTTCCCCGAGAGAGAGCTACTTCCTGTTTGTCTGTGTTTAAATATTCT